GCTCCAAATGTAGCATTTCACTAGTTTCTTCCTCAAATTTAAGTCCAACTTGCTGATAAAAAGATTCTTCTTCTTGCTAAATGCAGCTTTTGCCATGGCAATCCTGGATTTAATTTCACTAGTACACCTTCCATCCTCTGTTAACAGCTACCCAAATATTTAAAACATTTCACATTCTCCAGTTGTTTTTGGTCTGTCTTTATTGTGACTGGGGTTGGTTGTCTCGAAATTTTCATTACTTTTGTTTTTCCCACATTCATTTCCATCCCATAGCACCTTCCAATTTCAATTAGTCTATCAATCATGCCCTGTAGCACAGTTTCTTCCTTAGCCATTAACACAAGGTCATCTGCACTTCACACTTCACACTACATAAATTTTCTAAACCCGAATTCGTATGAGGAACAGAATTATTAGGCGGAAGACAGGAGGACCTCTACCTACACAACGGAAAACCCTGAGAATTAGCCATGTCAAAAGCAGGGTTCGAACCATAGTTATCACTGTCCGTTTAATTCAAGATCGTGCGTTGCTATTGCCAAAAACAATTACGAAACTGCCTGCCTTTCTCAACATGACTGGAACACAGAAATTCGTTGCGATGGTTCCAGAACTCACATTTTTCAGTCACAATGGATAATGAGGATATGACGTGAAAGTTGTATTGTCTCGTGTTGTCAGAAGACATCACTAGCCGTGCACTGTGCTATCAGGTTCACACGCATTCCGCTATGAAGTGAGATACAATTTTCGCCTTCTACAATTGCTATGGCAACGAAACGCGCGTATGTTGACCAGGTAATTACAGAATGTGTACAAATCAGTTCCAGCAGGAAGACTACAGAATATGTACTTATAACGGACACCCCCTCCCCAAAGTCCCTGTGCTTAACCAATTAACCACTATGCCATGAAGACGTATGGGGAGTGCATGTATAGATTCATGTATTATTGACTTCGGCATTATTTGCAGGTGAGTGGTCAGAGTTAACCGCTCCTGTGGTCTACTGATCACAGTTCCTGGCTAGAGATCCAGAGGTCCCGGGTTCGATTCCCGGCGCTATCAGATTTTCTGAGAAGTAGTGGGTCTGGAACGGGGTCCACTCAGCCTCGCGAGGGTAATTGAGGAGCCATTTCAAGGAAATGGCGGCTCCGGTCTAGAAAACCGAGATTAACGGCCGTAGGGATCCGTTGCGCTAACCACGCGATATCATCTATCCGCTAAAGTTGGTACTAACTTCGGCGACAATTGGCGGTCGCTCGGTCGGTATAGTTCGCTTGCGAACTGCAGGCCACGGAGTTTTTTTGTTGTTTTTGTGTGGTCAGAGTCAAGTCCGTGCCCACTTTAATCCATACTCTCGGAGAAATCGCCCCCGTTAACCATTGGCTACAAGTATGTGTAGACCCCAGAATCCGTATCGACGACGTTGACACAGGAAAAGAAAATTCCCTTACCGGGTCTCGAACTCCAACCTCTCGGATGTCAAGCCCATAGCCAGGCTCTATACGGACTGCGTTATCCCGGCTACCAGAATGGACACTCAGAATGTGTTAGAACTACCTTCCCGTTTTAATACAGGGAGGAATGCATCCGGATAAACCAGTTTGAACAGCGATCACCGATTGTATTTATGCATATGAGGAGTTAGTAATTCATACCGTATGTACACCCGTACATTACGGTCTTCCTATACAGTTTCCTTTTTTACTTCGTTTCTTATACATCTATCCATCTGCCCGTCCAACCAATCCATCAGTCTATAAGGTAACGAATGAAAATATGAAATATATATGCAAGTGAAAAAAAAAAAACAAAACAAAATATGCATGTGAAGACCGGTGAGAGCATGGGACACTAGATCACATGGAAAGACAAACTGGAGGACGTGAGGATGGCAATGTGATCATATGTGAAGTACTCGCACGAAGGGACGGTCTGTCCATAGGCGTACCCTGACCTTCAAAAGCATCGCAGTTCGTTCCATGAACACACGCAACACACCAAAGGGAAACGTAGCGGTCAGCGGCCGAGGAAATTGATGTAGTTCCTGCTGCGAAGTCAGTTCCCCAAACAAGAGTTACCTACATTTCCTTATATTCGATCATACATGAAAAGCGTTTCAAATAAATACCTCAACAAGATCAATATTTTCTATTAGGTACAATATTTTTTTATAAGTTGAGCCTTTTTTTTTCTGAAAATCGACAGAAGTGCGGTTTGCGCTTCGTGTAAAGTAAGCACCAGTACTAGTACTAGAACTCTTGGTATATATATCCAATATCAAATATTCGGTTAACTGAAATCGGTTCAGTTCTTCTGAAGATTCAGCATGCGGCTGGGCAGGCAAAAACAACTTTCAACTATGCGTTAATTTATTGACCATGCACAAAGTGCACATTAAAACATCACTTCATATAATATATATTGTTCTCATACTGTGACAATTCTCAAAAGTTGGGTTAAATATTATAAACGCAATAATCAGAAGTGATCGTTACTCACACTTACTATGTAAGTGATTGTACGACTGTCCCTGTGCCCGAACTGCGAGTACAGAGTGTCGAACGGTAGCACGACTGATAATTAATTAAAAAAGGTTTTGGAACGACACCGTCGTGAGCTAGTCGTGATATTATCCCTGAATTTGCCTGGAGCGACTGAGTAGAAGCACCATAAACTTCAGTGAGGATGGCTTGTCCCGAACAGGATTCAAATAGGGGACCTCCAGAGGAAAAGTCACAAGCGTGCCTCTTGTGGCAGCTCGGTCGATGAGAATTAGGGGAAACCACTGGCTAACAGAATGCCACACAACAGCCTTGTGTATCGTAGCCTGAGAAAATCCGAAATGAAACATAGAGTAATGCAACTTTTATGCGTTTTAGAAGTAAAACAGTGATGGTAGAGCCAGTACCCATCATATTTCTCTAAGATAGGATCGGATTGAACTGGCTCAGGATAGGGACCAGTGGAGGGCTCTTGTGAACACAGTAATTAACTTCCAGGTTCCATAAAATGCTGGGAAATTCTTGAGTAGCTGCAGAATTGGTGGCTCCTCAAGGAGGACTCAGCTTCATGAGTAAGATTAAGAGCCAGTACCAACGTCCGTCAGTCCATGTGTTTTACCTCCCACAATACTTAAAAGTCTATGATTAAATATGGTATAAAAAATATAAAATATAAACTGTTTGTAGATTCTGAAGTGTAGGATAAAGTCCGTTTTGAATTTCAATACTTGAAAATCATTTGAACTTGAGAAAAGTTGTTTGCTTCATTACTCAGCAACGCTTTCTAGATTATTTACGTTATGCAACTCCGAACGACAGAACTATAGATAAGGATAAATTAAGAAATGTGTGAATGAAAGCAGTCATGTTACAAAGGGCTGCTCCATATTGCGCCTAATTGGACTGGCAGAAACCATAAACGCCTGAAGCACCGAGCGTTAATCACTGAACTGTAACGTCTGATGCAAAGTTAGTCTTATATCTCTCAACGTCTTCAGGTCCCCAAATGTCGCCCCAGGCGATGTGAAATTCAACACTTTCCTTCAGATAAAAACAAATCAGTTTTCGACACATCAACACAATAATTTAAAATACCTGGACACTGTGATGGAAATCATCGTTGGTATAGAAATTCTTAAAATAGTTTTATTTATTGATGTATAACAATTTTTTCATTTTCGCAAAAAATGCAGACAAGAAAAAGGTTTGTATAAAATGATGACCATAAGAGCCATCGCGCCAGGCAGTCACATGGTTCGCCTATGATGGGGATGATCATGAATATTTGAAGTTATTTAAGGAAGTTGTTTGCAGTGGTCTTTTAAATAAATACGAGAACGTACGTTTGTACGCAGTGATATTTACATACTGATTAATTTTATTATCAACTGTATTTTCAGTAAATGAATATGAAGACTCTGCAGATATGCATAAGCACTCAAATAGAAAAAAAAAATCGTATATACTGTGCCCTCCAAGGGCAGAAGTATGTCCACAGCTTTCCAAACTTAACTGAAATGGGAATCAGTTTAAAAAAATGAAGCATAATAGAGGAATTTCGGATGGAGAGGCCACACATCATCAGAATATTAAAGATCATATGTAGAAATAGAATACAACTCCTTTTCCTCTAAACCTAACCTAGGCATTATGATTTCAACAAATTCTGGGAAGCAGGTCAAACAAGTTGAAGTACATGCATTAACACAATAGAAGAAAAACAAGAATCAGTGTTGCTTTATTTCGTCTGATGTGGATAACATAAATCAAAATACTGTTCCAAGGCAACAAGAAATGAAAGAAGGTCGAAGAAGGGAAACAAGGAAGGCTATAAATTAAAGAAGTGGGCTAGAGAAAACAAGGAAGGAAGGAAGGAAGGCTGAATGGAAGTGAGAGAGCGAAACAGTGAGAAAGCAGGACTTTATTCTGTAAATTTTTACATTTCTTCCATTAACAAAAATTTAACAGCAATTATTATCACATCATAAGTTGTATTATTTTACTTTGTAACAAGTATATCTCACTATAAAATAAAACTGATATGGTGGTGCATGAGATTGTGAGTATTTGGGCTGGTTACCAGTAGCACTAATGCTGACAGCATGTGGATCTGCCAGCAACAGTCTCTCTGTGGTCAGCTGTCATCATTTGAATGAAAAATTCTTATTTGGAGGAGCTTCTTCAGACCTGCATCTCATATTTTTAGCTATTTTAAAGATTAAAAGGAAGCTTATCACCTTGCTGTGTCTGTACGATTATATACTCCCCCTCCCATAACTTTCATTCAAAGACTGAGTTCACCTTGCTGTATGTCCCTCCCTAATTTCTTGTTTTTCTATGTGATCCCTATCATATCGAAAGAAAATAGGCTATCAGCTTGTCTCAGAACCTCCGACTTTCAATATTTGATATTACGCTTGGATTGTATGTTAAGCAGAGGTTCTGGTCAATACAAAAATAAATAAGTTTTATCATAAAACGCTTTCTTTTACCAGGTACACCAGAAATCTGGTTGATGAGGGAAATGGTAAGTTTAACCTGTTGATTTTGTGCTGGGGTGAGGGCCATGGTTCTGCAATCCATGACCATGCTGATGCCCATTGCTTCATGAAGGTTCTGCAGGGGTCTCTCAATGAGGTGCGATTTGCTTGGCCTGAGAGAAACAGAATTGCCCGTGAGGAATGTGTAGACAACCGTGACGACAACAGCAGAGACCATAAGGTACTGAAGGAAACCTCCAGGGAACAACTACATCTCAATGAAGTTACCTACATTAATGGTAAATGAAAATAAGTATTAGAAGCACATGCCAGTAATATGAAGTGTATTAACTTTCCAAATGCCGATATAGCTGTATGTAAACTTGTGCTAGTGCTGATTCTAACACAATGAATCATGTTGAAGGAGTCGGGAGAGCTCAGTCAGTATAATGATGGCTACAGACTGGACAGCTGTGGTTCGATTCCAGACACAGGCAAGATTTTCTCTTCTCCACACCATCCAGACCAAATCTAGGGCCCACCCATTGTCCTAGACAATAGGTACAATGGATAATTTCCCCTGGATAACGCTGTCAGAGCATGAAGCTGACCACTCACCTCCACACAGTACTGAGGTCATGAACGGAGGAGCTATACCTCCACTTCTCCATATGTCTTCATGGCATTGGGCTTAATTAATTAAGCACAGGGACAATTTTATCTTTTTACCTTAACAATGTTGATTTTGTTAATGAAAGGGAGTTAAATGCATGTAATACATAATATAAGTATGTAAGCGTTGCCATCTACATCTGACCACATTCATTTTCTGAAAAATTAATCACCTATTTCTAAAATATGCAAGTAGAAATACCTGCTCTTTGTCCATGGTATGGTCACTTTCCTTGACAGTACCACAATATATAGCAGCTAAAACTTAAATTAAGTAATTCAAAGCTCACTCATGCAATTAAAAATGGGAATAAGAATAAGTCATACCCAAAAATTTCAGTGCAATACTTGGACATGACATTAACAGGTGTGGATTCAGTAAATACTTGCAAGAGAAGAAATTAAATTTCATAACATCTGTGAATGTTCTCTATGATGTTTGTGGTAGAAAACAGGCAGGCAGAAAGTATGCATATTAAACATAGAAACCACTGAAACACAAGATTAACAATCACAGCTATTCAAGAACCTCATCCTTCAGACAGGCACTGTGGAACATCAGAAGAAACAACATAGTTAACGGACAGTGAATTTCAAGAACTAATCACGGTTACTATGTTAAATAAAACTCACTATTTTGAGGCCATGGTCGAATGTTGTAGTGTTGGCTAGAAATTATTAACACACACACACACACACCTATTCTTATAATCCTATTCCTAAATGGAAGAAGTGTTTTTATGTCACATTAATAAAATAATAAATGTAAAATATATCGGTGTTAATTTAAGGGGAGACAGAATTGCTACCTTTTTTGTGAAAAATTTTATTTAATGTTTCATCAAGTTAAAGCCTTGTATGCCTCTTCAAACAGCTGATTTTGGTACAAATTTTTAATTGTATATGTCTTTCTTTTTATTTTAGACTCACTTTTCTCTGCATGTGTATTGGATTCACTTTCCTGTATTAAAATGTCAATTTCTACAAAAACTGTGCTACTTGCATGAAATTTTTGCTGATTGTTCACTATACTGTCTTTGACAAATGTTGGCATGATTTTCCTGTCAAACTTCACATTAAAAGTTTAAAAATAATTATCCAAGGGCATAAAGCTCCTCTTTTGATTATAGATGCTGTACTAATTGGAATATTTTATTACAAATAAAGCAATGAAGTTATGGCAACTTTTATTCATTCTAAGGTGACATGTAAAAATCTAGAATTTCATCCAAAAATGTTTACATTTGTTCAAGAAGATACAAATTTTGGAAAAGAGGTTCTCTTTTTACTGTTTAATTTGGTATTAACTCCAGAATTTGTGAATCTATCAAGATGAAATTTTTTATAGGCACTATCATATTTGGCAGAGTTACAGTACAGTATTTAAAAGTTCTAGTTTGAGCAGTTTAGAGAACTGAAATTTCACTTCAGTTTCCCCTTCATATTTATGTCTAAGCTTAGACCTAAATGCACTGAGTTCCTCTACATTTTAATTACCAATCTTGGATACTGTTTTCAGACTCAATTGGTCTCCACAGAGTTGAGAATTTGAGCAATATTAACTCTGCTGTCAGCCTGCATCTTTACTGCCCCCCATATAGCAAATGCAATATATTTAATGAGCTGACAGGCCAGAGCACATTAACAAATGTGACATTCTGGTCCAAATATGGAGAAAAGAGGGACAGGGTAAGTTGTAAGATCCTTCTTCTTATTAAACATAAAGTATTGGAATCAATGGATTCTCATGTGATAAGTCTTATCGGAGGCTTTCTCTTTTAAAATAAAATCTGTAATCCCAACAAGATGCAATTCACATCCACAATGACACTACAATATTTACGAAAATATATGTTAATTCTGTTATAGACGTTTGCCAAACATATTTCCTTCAAATAGGAACACAATTTAGTGGTCATGTTATTGTGTAAAGTTTACTATATTTGTATAAATATAGCTGTCTTTCAAAAACTTTTCAAGTTATTGAGGTTATGCATATATGATGAAGCATGTTTTAACAATTTCTCAATGAGATTTCAAAAGGCTTCACACTAGTGTGATACAAAAAAATAGTATGCAAACAAACAAACAAACAAACACAGAGATCTTGAGAGTGCAAGTCAAAAAATATGAACAATATGTAGTAATTTGTAACTGGTGAAATTATATTGTTCATACTGCATGATAACTAACCTCAGTCTCGCTATTTTACAGGATATACAGTCATCCCGTGATCCAGAAGATAATTAGCACTGGTTTTCACAAGGAATCCTAGAAGGATCCCCATCCAACAAGAACTGTGCAAACTGGCTGTATGTTGCATACAGCATATCATTAGGTATGAGCTCATGTGCAAGATAGGAAACTATATCAGTTTTTGGTCAGAAAATTTTGACCTTACAAGTATTTCAGCTGGACACAGTTGCATTAAGCTAAGTGACTACATTAATGACCACAGAATCCAAATGCAGGAAACATTAATTCAAATATTCGGGTTATTAAAAACAATTGCATCAATTAGAAACACTATCATATCTTTTGTGTTATTAGTTCATGATTTTCTTCCTTGGGATACAAACCAAAATCTTGTTCATTTTCTGGTATGGAAAATCACAATAAGAATCCCACAAATTCAGTTTAGTGATATCTGCGTTTCCTTTTTAACATTTATAAAATTCATGAAAATTTATTGAACCACTTACATACATAAGCAAATACACGCCATCTAAACAAAATGACCTGTAATTTAATTAACTCACATTTGTATGTGTATCATGCATAGTGAAACTAAGTCTGAATGTCTGTGACAGTGGTGTGTAAAAATAAAACTGACTATTACTTTGGATATTGTCCACTGCCATGAGTTTTTTCAAATAGAACATTTCAGAATCTGGATGTGCTTCTTTAATAATGTATATGGGTGGAAATGTTTCTACTCAGTCAGGCCCATTAGAAAGAGCTAGCCTCTGTCACTGGACATCAAAAGGAGTCAATAAGCACAGTGACGACTGACAACACAAATGCAGTAAGTTTTCAAAGGACTGAATATCAAAATCTTAGTCAAAGATTTCTAGACTAACATGGCCAAGTTCCAAACATGTCTTATGGCAAACGCGCAAAACTCACACATTCATGGATATGAAACTTAAAAAAAAGAGGTGACAATGGGAAATGAAATCCCCCCTCCTCCCTGCAAAAAAGGAAAACGATATAAAAGTATGGCATAAACAAAGACTGATAAAAGTATTTGTACAATGAAATGTACTTTGATTTATCTGATGTTACATAAGACACAGAACTTGAAACCCAGGCCCAGTGAGAACAAATCAGACAATCTGATATTCCTTCTTTCAAAACCAGTTCACTACTTTGAAGAAATATCTGCATTAGTAAACGGTATGAAATGTACGTCTCCCTTGTTTCTTTCCATCCTGTCTGTTTAATGATCAGGAGATCACATATAAGTTAATGAATAAAGAAATATATTTTACACTTTACGAGATTTACTATCATCAGGTGCTATGGCAATAAATAATAAAGATGATGTGTAATACTGCTAACCTGAATTTAATGATAAGTAGCAATTAATAATAATCAGTGTTTGTTGCATGACAATGAATTTCTTGCGGCCATTACAAGGTTAAGGCACCTTCTAATTGTTTAGTGTTTATGAAATATAATAATGTATGCAAAAGATTTATCTAATACACATATAGTTACTACCATTATGTAAGAATTCATTAAAAATATCTTATATAACAAGCAAATTCATTATCTCAGTACAGTTTTCCTTAAAAATAAGTGATGTGAGGAATGAGTACTTTACCTAGTATGTATCTGTCAACAAAGAGAGTAATAATAATCAATGGTCTTCTGGCCAGGCCAGTCATCCACCCTTCCATAAGGCACTTCTAGATGGAATGAAGGTCAACATTACAAATGTTATGAGATGGTGTTTAGAAAACTCAAAATATTTATATAGTGAATGTGTGATTAAAAGCTGGTGTATTTCTTTTTAATATTTTACTTCACCACATCTTCTTTATGGAAAATTATATGGAACACCTATTATGAACAAAAAGTTTCATTTTCATTAGCATGTTTCAGAAAATAAAATGAATACTATTTGATTTCCAGTATTAACATTCCTGACCTTAAAATATGTATAAGATATTTGTTTTTTAATTTAAGAGCTCAGCCAAACAGAAAGATGGAAAATCATGCATTTTCATTCATTTGTTCCAAAAAATACTATAAAAATAAAATAACTAAATTTAAAACATTAACACCTTCGGTGGCCAGATAAGGGAGGCCACTAGATTCAGACTGGGATGGTCTGAACATACTGAATTTGGACCCAGAACCAAGAGGGAACATTTGTGGTCACTCTGTACTTACAGCAGCCTCTCAACGGAACTACAATGGGATGGAATATCCATAAAGAATATATACAGGAGCAAGAGATGCCAAAGTGCAAACAATGAATATGAAAAGTCTGTTTACTCCAAAGTGCAATACTTACCATTCTTGCCTGTAAATAAGGTAATTTTCAACAACAAATTGTATGTTTCATGCAATTTTTAATATGCTTATAATCATCATATAAAATGCAAATAACTATCATACCCATACAGAAAAATCTGCATCTCGATTTAATGAACAATTTCTGTTGTTCAAACTGGCTACTTGCTGTCATCATCTCTAGGTTCTAGAATTCATTCATATCACTTCTGAGACCTTCAAAACACATTTGATCATCATGATCATCATGAAAATATTTGGTTATCAAAACCATCAGTGGGAGGGAGGATGTCAAGAATCTGCCCCCACATCTGGAGTTTCAAAAAGAAGAATAAAGAAGAAAATTGAAAAAAAAATAAATATACTAAACATTAAAATCATTTAAACATTGTATATACACCAATAATCAATATAAAAGCATTTAACATTGTTCTAAAGAAAACTGACCTAGTGTAATTAAACAGCTTAAATGCAAGTTTGTAAGCAAATTCTCTTATTGTTCCCTCTCGGAAAAAAATCCTGGCATTGCCTGTGAAGATTTTCTTATCTTGTGAAGCCAGTCATGAATCATTTATCAGCTGCAGAAAGCTCTGCTTCCTTTGCTTTCCTTGGTAACCATGATAATTTATGCTCTATTGCTGTATCATTTCAGCACTGCCCCATTATCATTCATAATCTCTCATCTTCATGAAAAAAAAAACAGCTTGGATGGGGAGATTAAGCAATAATTCTGCCTTTCATGACAGCACTGCCATATCTTATATTGGCATAAAAAAGCCTATATTGAATTTACAGGTAACAAAATCATTGCTTTGTGATTACAACAATAATTACTGTTATCAAAGTCCCAATGCTTTTCATATAGGAGAAAGAAAGTGGGGTGGAACTGACTTACACCCAAAATTCATGTATGTAAATGCAAGTACCAAAATGATGAGAAATTTTATGACAGGACAATGTCAGAATAGACAGGATGGCAATATAACTTCTCCATACCCAATCCAGATATCCAAAATGTGATTTGCTGCATACTGAGCTATTTCCAGATGTTCATTTCATTCTTTAGTGCCAAATATTATCAGCTATACAAGCTGTAGCTGTAATAAGAGACACATCCAAACATTATGTCAAAACCAGTAGTCTCCAGTTTTTCTGTATGAGGTCAACATAGTTCAACTGCTTACAAATCCCCACAGAGGTCAATCATATCTATTGCAAGTGACTGTAAGGTCAAGTGACAAACATCACATGTTTGATATCTGGATTTATATCAATAACATAGCATTAATTTTTTTAACGTATGAAATATCTGCTTTCTCAAGCAACTTTTACTAATACATACGATTTTTAATTATTTTACATTTAAGCTACATGCATATTCATATTCCAATAATGCTGAAGGTAAATTGTTACTTAATATTTAGGTAATTTTTTTTAATGCTACAGGGGTGGGACTAAGTCCCTTCCTTGTACTCTGGCCACTTCTGGCCTATTGTACCAGCCCCAGATGATAGGTGAGGGTGATTGTGGAGCAATTGGTGGAATGAAGGTTGGCAGGGGAAACCGAAGTACTCAGAGAAAACCTGCCCCAGTGCCACTTTGTCCACCAAAAATCGCACTTGCCAGACCCGGGATCGAACCCGGGCCGCTGCAGTGGAAAGCCAGGGACTAACCGCTTGAGCTATGGCAAGGCCCCTAATATTTATGTAAGTTAAGATAACAAAAATTAGATAAGAATTCCTACCTTTATATTTTACACATATGTGCAGTAAATATTAGATCAAGGGTCTCCAAACTACAGCCCGCGAAAGAATTGTGCAGAAATGCGCCAATTGAACTAATTTTCCAATGAGTACTGGTAAAAAACATACTTGTTCATAGATTTCAAATTCATTAATTAAGACTGTGTTTAAAATACTGATATTCCATATTATGTTAATATTAGCTGCTACTGTCTGTTGTCATTAATATACGATGTTACAAGCCCAGATTGACAACTTCTACACAATTTATGGGTATGTTTATGGTCTATCTTCATTACTTATCACAATTAAAGTGAGAGCTAAGTTTAGATTTCACACAGCCATCATGTTGTTTTACTTGATCACTTTTGAGTTTCTATGCCACACAGAATTTCAAGATCCTACATTAAGTGGTGTTTCCATCTCACAAATTGGTATTACTGATGGTAGGTAATTAAAAAAGTACAAAGGTGGGGGTAGTATCTAGTGGCATGATGCCCACATCAATTTCATTAGAATCCATCAACTGGTTAAGAAGCTGGCAAGGTGTACACATGGACAGGGATGACTATCTTGTATGTCTACTTCCCTTATAAAATAAGGTTGAAGGATTTGATTTTCATCCACTAATCATATGCTTGATTCAGAAAGATCTTATTAAGTAAAGGTAAAGGTAAAGTTGTCCTTGTGCTTAACTAATTAAGCACTATGGCATCAAGAGGTATGGGGGAGTGGATGTACAGACCCATGGTTTCTTGACCTCAGCATTAGTCGGAGGTGAATGGTCAGCTTCACGCCCCGTCCGCTTTACCCCCGGGGTAAAAGCCCCCCAGTACCCATTGGATAGGAAGCTGAGTGGGCCCCAGAGCCAGTCTGGATGACATGCATAAGTGTACAATTCTTGCTTCCATCACAACCTGAAATATGACCCCTTGCAGGTGCAGCCTGTAGCCAGTCACTATACTGACTGTGCTATGAGGTTAACAAATTCCATGGAGCAGTCCTTCTAGAGATGTAAATAACCGCTAAACAGTCAATAAATTCCCCAACTTATATGGAACTTGATGGTTCATTCCCGTGTTCACACAAGTCTGCTACTGGTCCTCATCCTAAGCCACACTATCCCACTGACTGAACTCTGTAAACATTTATCATCTCTCCATACATGCTACATGCCCTATCATTCATCTTCCTTCAATTCATCATCCCAACAATATTCTGTAAATATAATAGTATAAATTAGACAGAAAAGATTAAATTTCTCATTCTCTACATCACACCGAACAAAACTGATTATAGTAATATTAAATGCTGTCTCTCAACATATTAAAATTTACTGAATTAAAAACATTTCAATTACTGTAACAGTATCATGATACAGTAATTTTAGATACTGTAAAAAGCTTTAAAATATAACTTTAAGCCTAAATATAAGTCCTAGGAAAACAATATGGCTTTCATACTTATAACATATTAGATTATCAATATAACTTGCCACCCACATCACCCTTCTCGCTTTCTTGATTTTCTTATATAAATATCAAAACATCTATATTTCTGTAAGTCCAACAATGTAAAAGTGAAGTATGCAGCAGACAAACCACTAAAGTTAATGTAATCATCTCCTGTAATTTCAGCTTCAGCTGACAAATTACTGTCAAGAAGTCATGCTTATATGAGGGTTGGAACTTTAATAGTGGCAACACTTCTGCAGAGATGCCATCCAACGGAACCAAATAATGTCGCTTATACCACACGTTACTTACATACCTACCTTACCTCAGAGCAAATGGACTCTTCCATCCCACATCACGCGCATGCACAGTGACAAGAAGAACAGAGCCTCGTGTTAGCTGGTGGTCTAATGTAGTGTTGTCATGATGTTTTTGAAACAGGAACAACGGAGTTGGATAAAGATTGAATGTTCCAGAGGCCGTACAGCATGACACTGTCATCAAGGCTTTTGGGGAATCTGCATTGCCTTACAGAACAGTGACAAGGTGGAACCATCACAAGAATCAAAAGTTTGTCAGAACTCCAGCAATGTGAAAGTTATGGTCATTCTCGTGTACGATTGTGATGGTGTTCCCCTAATACATACCGTTCCCCGACAGCAGACTGTCAATGCGCAGTATTACTGTTCATTTTTGGAACACAACCTGCGACCCACTTTGAGAAAGAAGCAGCAACACTTTCTGCAGAACCCACCCATCATTTTGCAGGACAATGTTCGGCCGCATGCAGTGCAACCTGTGGCTGATTTGTTCGATCGATGGGGGTACCATCCACCATACTCCCTGGACTTAAGTCCTTGTGACTTCGACTTGATTCCTAAGATGAAGGAACCACTTCGTGGCATTTGCTTCAGAACTGTTCCAGAGATTCTTCAGGCAGTAGACTGCTCCATTCGAACTATCACAACAGGTGCTGCTAAAGGTATCCTACGACTTCCACATCGCTGGCGATGGGTTGTACACAATGCTTGTGACTACACTGAAGGACAGTAAAACTTCAAAACG